CTGCAACTGCTGAACCCATCCGCTGGCAACGAGACTGGGCGGTTCACAATTCCAGTCCGCCACTGCCAACCACGGGTCTGCAAGGGCCCGAGTGAAAGACGCCAGCGCGACCATGATGTCATTGCTAATGCCGCGAAACTCCAAGCCAGGCTGCAGGTAGGCGGCGATCACCACAACGCCCCCCGTCTTCAAGTGCAGGGTGAGAGGGACGAACCCCTTACAGGGGTCCTGGCGGCCGTCAGCACGAGCAGCCGCACGCATACGCTGGAAAGAAGAACTGGCAACACACTTCCGCGTGAGCATCCATTCACCTCCACTGAGACCCGACTCTGAACGCCTAGAAGCACGCGCAGGAGCCGAGCTCAGCTGCCATCCATCCTTGTCGAGGTCGGTCTCCAGCTGCGGCAAGGCACTGGCCCCTTGGTGGGTCTCCACTAGCGTTACAACTGAATGGTCATAAAACTTCTCCGTGAGGAACCGTCGGGCTTGTGGGCCTCGCTCTGTGATATTGGAATAGAACACCGTGACATCACCTGAAGAGGCGCACGTGCTACCCGCGCTCGTGGACGGCAGCAGGCTCAGCAGGAGCGTCACGGCCAGGAGCAGCACCCTCAGCGGCGAACTCCCCGCGCCCAGCAGCAAGCCGGGCCTCGCGCGAGGATGCGGCGATGGAGGCAACGAGCCTGGCGCGCTCCTCAGCGGACGGCTGGTCTTGGGAGCCAGCGCCGCCGCCACTGCCCTCGGGTGCAGCCGGGCCTGAGGTCGCCTCCGCAGCCGCGCCCTCTGCCTCATCAGCCCTGGCCTGGCCGCCTTCAGCGCGGCGCCTCTTGCGAGGAGCACGCAAGGCCTGCTTGGCAGAGGCGAGCAGCTCCTTGAACTGCAGCTCGCGGGCCTTGGCCTGCGTCGCGATGTCATCGAGCTCCCGTTGGAACTGCAGCAGCTTCTGCTTGTCCTCCTCCTCGTAGTCGTCCAAGTCCTGGAAGAGCTGGGGGTCGACACCGAAGAGAGGGGTCGCCTCGCCACCTTCAGCGGGAGCGGTTTCAGTCTTGACGCCTGCGCCGCCGCTCTGCGTGGTCTCTTGGGCGACCAAGCGGGCCTGGTCCGCCTCGAAGAGCTCATCCGCCGCAGCGAGCTGGCGCCCCTTGTACTCCTCCAACCAGGCCTCGGCCGAGAGGAGCTGCTTGGACGCCTTGAAGAGCTTGGCCTGCTTCTGAGCACAGAGAGGTGGCCTCGCGCAGGACAACATATGGGCACTTGGCCTTGGGCTTGGGCTTGACACGCTCCGCCGCCTCCTCGAACTGGTGAGCGTGCCCCAGCGCCGTCGAATCCCAGGAGAGACCAGCCACCTTGATATACTGCTGCGAGAGCTGAGCGGGCTCCGCCTTGGACGGGAGCGATGGCCAATCCTTGGACGGAGGAGACCATGGTGGAGCAGACCACGCAGACTGGTCAGCATGCGCCCACGGGGCACGGGTCTTCGCGCCATTGGCCGACTTCTGACGGGTCATCAAAGCAACTCGCGCGTCTACAAGGCAAGTCCTGTGCTGGGGCGGACCAGCACAAGATCCAGGTCAGGGCAGACTGACCGAGCACTTGGTTCACTGCCGCGGTAACAGCGGTATCCGTTCTGGCACAAGGGCGCGGAGCCCTCTCGTGCAGAAGTCTTGAGCCAAAATGGCTACGGAGGAGGAGGAGGAGGGGGAGGAGGAGGAGGAGGGGGAGGAGGAGGAGGGGGAGGAGGGGGAGGGGGAGGAGGGGGAGGAGGGGGGGAGGAGGAGGAGGAGGAGGAGGAGGAGGAGGAGGAGGAGGAGGAGGAGGAGCAGGAGGAGCAGGAGGGCCCCGCGGCCTTCTCAGAGCGTTCCCGAACATTCGGAGAGCGCCCCGGAAAGCTCTGGAACGGTTCCGCCTGGTATTGGCCCCGCCGCCCATCGATCGCCGATCGGGGCCCATCGATCGCCGATAGGGGCCCGATAGCCCCAACCTGCCCATGAGCGTGCAGATTCATTTTCGGGGACCTATCGCCGATCAATCGGGGCTTAGGTCGGGCATGTCCTCCTACAGTCGGGCTTTGGAAGAAACATTTAGAAATAGTCGGAACAAAAATAGTCTAAACATCGTCCCCGGACGACTTGTTCATTATTTTCCCAATCAGAGCTTGCCTTCGTAGGGGTCCTAGCGGATTCATATGGTTAGGTCAGGTTTGCCGCCGATTTTCGCCCCGCGCCCGGGTGCCCGGGTGCCCGGGGGTGCCCAGGACCCGGGTGCTTGGGGGGTGCCCGGGGGTGCCCGGGTGCCCGGGTGCCGGGGTGCCTGGGCGTGCCCGGGGGTGCCCTATAGCCCTATAGCCCTACAACTCTATAGCCCTATAGCTCTATAGCCCTATAGCTCAATAGCCCTATAGCCCTCTAGCCCTCTAGCCTGATTCCCCAATCAGAGCTTGCCTCTGTAGGGGTCCTAGCGGATTCATATGGTTTGGTTCGGTTTGTCGCCGATTTTCGCTGCACGCCCCGGTGCCCGGGTGCCCAGGGGTGCCCGGGGCCCACATGCCTGGGGGGTGCCCGGGTGCCCGGGTGCCTGGGCGTGCCCGGGGGTGCCCGGGAGTGCCCAGGGGTGCCCTATAGCCCTATAGCCCTAAGCCCTATAGCTCTATAGCCCCATAGCCCTACAGCCCGATAGCCCTTAACTCTATAGCCCTATAGCTCTATAGCCCTATAGCTCAATAGCCCTATAGCCCCCTAGCCCTATAGCCCTGATTGGGTTTTTTCTCCGGTATCATTTTGAATATTCCTCTATAGCGGGACATGCTCGACTTAGCCCTGGGCGCCCAGCAACCCACGTTGGGTCAACGTCGAGGGTTGGAGCGCTGCGGGAGAACATCGAAAAAGAAAGCACGCCACATGCAGAAACGTTTAGCGCTCCGTGCGGATCTTCCTTTCTCGCGCTTGGCTCTCTGGCGGCGACTCCGGCGCCGCCCCTGGTGCGCTCCGCGCGCCAGGGAGGGGGCCAAAAAGTTTACGAGTATGGTGTGCTTGCTTCTTCCAGAGCAGCAATACCATTCTTCGGGGTGCCTCGCCGAGGTCTGCCTCTCGGGCCAGCCCCGAGGGCCCCCAAGGCGGCACAAGAGCGCAGGAGGAATAAGTAAAATGACATTAAGAGTAGTGGTATTTCAAGGTTGCCAAAGCTCCCACTTGTTCTACACCTCCTAAGTCATTTCGCAAAGTCGGGCTAGAGTCAAGCTCAACAGGGTCTTCTTTCCCCGCTGATTCTCCCAAGCCCGTTCCGTCCGGCAGGCTCCTGGGGCATGTCCTGAGGACGTGTGGGGAGTGCCGGCCGCGCCTCTGAATCCCCAGGGGATGTCTTTTGTCAGGAGGAAAAGAAACACACAGACACAATTAATTCTCAACTACCCAGGAAATATAGGCAAGTATGGGAAGTGGGGGGAAGACAGAAGCCCAGAAGATATGGGAAGAATATGGGGCATATGTTTATTATTTGTGTGTGTGTTTGTTTGTGTCCCAGGACCCCTTCATTTTGGGGAACGCCGGAAACGCCCAAAAAATCCAAGAATTGGGGGTACGGGTCCTTGAGAAATGTTTTATACCACTCAAGCGAAGGGCCTGGGGACACCCCAGTCAGCGCCTACAGCATGGGAGCGGGGCCTCACCCACGAGCTTGAGACCGCCACTGAGATATCCCTACTCACCCGTGGAACATTGCCTCCCCGGCACCCCCGCCCACCCGCTGAAAACAGCAGCTCGTTCAAACAATCGCAGAACATTTCCCAGAAAAATATCCTCGCCCACCCGCTCGGTACTGGCACACGGAAATCTGCACCCGCTGGATTAACATTGTTACGCAAATATCTCTACCGACCCGCTTGACATTGCCATCCAAATGTCCACACCCACCAGTCGAACATTACCACCCGCATCCACCCGCAAAAAATGCCACTCGAGTATGCTTACCTGCTTGCTTAGGACCGTCATCTACACATCCGCACCCGCCTGCAAAAGTGGATCCCAAATGTTTTCACGCACCCGCAATATCCGCACCCATCCACCTGAAACTGGAATCCAAGCCTCCTCTCCCAACCGCCTAACACGGCCACCGCATATCCTCAACCCCCGCCGCCGATCAAAATGCCATTTGACGACCTTGGCGAGTTCAGTCAGTCACGAGCTGCTCCCGTAAACACAACATCGGAGGCCTGGGTCATGGGCTCTTCTCGAGGGCTCTTGGGCCCCGTCGTGATTGCCCCTTCGAGGCCATCTCGGGGCCACCTTGCAGCCGCCCGTGTCCCATCGGCCCACCTGACGTCGAAAAATTGAGAACGCAGTAATCATGGTGTCGACATCTCGGCAGAACTCCTTTTTAAGACTTTTTGGTTTTCGTGACGTTATCATAAGGCCAACTGGCGGGCATAATAGGGCCATTCTGGAGGGCATCGCGGGGAAAGTTGAGTCACCGTGGCTTGTAATTTACGCCAGCTTGAGCCAAACTGATCTGCCCATCTCGGGGCCATACTGGACGCCTGTACTCCCAGATGCGTTCCTGAGCACAGGGGGTACGTGGCATCTGCGTTGCTGTTTGATTTGTGCATCGCATGAGCAGACCATACTCAAAGGGCGTCGCCAGGAACGGCAACGAGGACTGACGCCCTGTATGGCCGGACCGAGGTATAAGATCGAGGTCCGTTCGGGGAGGGCGCCATCATAGATTTCATGTTTGTTGGGAGTTCTTGTGCATCCTGGGGCGGGTGCCCTTGGATGTCAGGAGGGAAAAAACACACAGACACAATTAATCGTCGATTCCCAGGAAAATGTGGGAAAATATGGGAAGTGGGGGGGAAGACAAAAACCCAGAACATATGGGAAAATATGGGGAATCTGTTTATTTGTGTGTATTTATTTGTGTGTCCTGGGGCCCCTTCCAGGATGTTCTGTGTGATTTGGCCAGTGGAGGGTCTCATGCTCTTGAAGGATGCTGTTTTGTCCGGCCGCAGCCGCTCTGGCTCACGGCCCGTGCGCGCTGAGAAGGCTGACGGCCTGAGAGCGCATGTGCTGGATCTTATGGAGCATGGGCCACTGCTGGAGCAGAGAGGAGAAGGCCAGCGGATGCTAAGTCCATACGGTCGGACAGAGGTATATGATCGAGGTCGGCCTGGGGAGGATACCCTCGGATGTTATTCACTTCGTGCATCTTGGGGGAGGGTACCCCCTCGAATAGTTGTCAGTTTGGCTGGCGGAGAGTCTCATGTTCTTGGAGGACGTTATTCTGTCCCAGGTCCATCCGTACGGAGCATGTCCACACGTGGTGCTCGGCCTCCGTCTGGGCTTACTCCGACTAGACTGGGCCTTTCCTGACAGGAGGCCAAGTCCGGCGGCGTAAGTCCACACGGAGCGCTCGGCCTGCGTCGGGGCGCACTCCGCTTGGATTCGGCCACTCCTGGGAGAAGGCCAAGTCCAGACGGCGTAAGTCCACGCGGAGCGCTCGGCCTTCGTCTGTGTCTCCGCTTGGACTCGGCCCCTCCTGACAGGAGGCCATGTCCAGAAGGCGTAAGTCCACACGGAGCGCTCGGCCTGTGTCTGGGCTGACTCCGCCTGGACGCAGCCTCCCCTGGGCGGAGGCCAAGTCCAGACGGCGTAAGTCCACACGGAGTGCTCGGCCTCCGTCTGGGCTTGGTGCGTTGTGACTTAGCCTTCCCTGAGCAGGCACCCGGCCAGCCCGCGCCCCAGGGCTTCCAGCGCGTTTGCGAGAGCGGCGACGGGGATTGCTTGTTCCACGCCATCGCGCGGCAGGTGCACGGCGACCCCTCGTGCGCGGGCCTGGCCCGGAGGGAGATTTGTGATTGGACCTCGGGCACTTCCGCGAGGGGGAGGGCGGTAAACGGGGGGGGGGAAAGGTGCAATTTGTCTCAGTGTCCAACCGAGTTGTTCGCGGTCTTTCCTTTTCTCCTCCTCTCCTCCTCCTTCTCCTCCTCCTCCTCCTCCTCCTCCTCCTCCTCCTCCTCCTCCTCCTGCTCCTCCTCCTCCTCCTTCGCCTTAGGCCTCTTCGTGGCTCCACGAACGCGGTGGTTGCCTGGCCACCCTCTCGAGAGATGTTTTTGTGGCATTGCACTCAAGAGGATCGCTCCACGGAGGTGCAATGTCGTGGTGCTGTCCGCTCCTCTTGATTTCCTTAAAATAGAAACGCCTTCGGGGCCCAAGGGAACCCCTGTAGGCCCCCTGGGGCCCCTTCCTGGACATTCTCCGATGTGACCTGCTCAATCCGCGGCCCCACAGCTCCCGACCTCCTCCCCAAGGGTAGCTCCCATCCTGGACCCATGTTCGATGGCCCCGGGTCCCGAAACCAGCCCCCAGACGCCACAATCGAGGAACAACGCCAGGATTGAGCAAATCGTACCGTTGGAGGCCCGGGTTTCCTGAAACCCTCGATCCCCCATCTATCGATTACACGTGAGAGTGACCCATCGCCAGAGTCACCTTCGGTGCGGACTCAGTGGCGCCCCCACCCCCAGTGATGAGTCGGGCATGTCACTCTACAGGAGAAATGTTCAAGAACTGTGAAAAATTGTATGAGGACGATTCCTCGTGCTCTTTTGACTGTGTTTGATGTTTTTGGCTATGTTTCATATTTCCTTACAAATCCGCCTGTAGGAGGACATGCCCGACCTAACCCCAGTGCCTCCCAGCACTGGCTTTGGCGCCTGGATTTGGCCCAGCCGTGGCCCGCGAAAGCCTCGCTCCGGAGGTCAACCCTTGTCCACGGCCACCCTTGTGCTCCAGGCCTCCTAGATGGGGTCCGAGTAGATGGGGTCGGAGGATCGCGCCGCATCGGCGAGGCGTGGGTGATGCATCATGGATGCGGCTCGATGTGGGGCCCAATTTTCTCCACGCTGACGTCGCCGATGCATCGCCCAGTTTGTAAGTACATGGCCGATACATCGCCGATGTATCGGCGATGCGGCGGGATCCTCCGACCCCATCTACTCGGACCTCGTCGAGCTGGCCTCTACCTGCGCGCGGCCGAATTTTCGAGTAAGGGACCGACTACAGAACCGGCTTACCCCAAACCTGTTTGTTTGTCGAGTCTATGTTTTTGTTTGCAGATTCGACGCGCAAGTCAATTTTGGGGTAAATCCTCCTACGCAGAAAGTCGAACCCCTGCTCGGGATTGATTGCCCCGCCGCTACCATTCAAAATGAAGGCATCCTCATCATTCAAGATGATGGCTCTCATCATCGTTTCCCTGACGGTTGCTGACGGTTGCCATGGCAGACAGACAGGCGCCTTGTCGATTTCCCCAGCTGCTACTGGCCGTCTCTGCCGGACAGTTGCTTTCGGTGAGGTTGTCGGACTCCCCGCGACCATTCCGGCAACGCCGTTGCTGGCCGTGTCAGGCTGGCAGCCGATAAAGCAGCCAACCAGGCAGTCAGCCATGCGAGCAGTCAACCGGGCAGCCAACAAAGAAGCCAACAAGACTGCCAGCAAGGCAACCAGCCAGTCAACAAACGAGGCGTCCAACAAGGCCACCAACTAGGCAGCCGACACGCAGCCAACGAGTCAGCCAACAAGGTAGCCAAGTTGGCGGCAAACGAGCCAGCCAGGGACGCGGCCAACCAGGCAGGCAACGAGGCAAGCAGCCAACCGGGCAGCCAAGAAGGCCAGCAGCGCGGTCAACAAGCCAGGCAACATGGCAGCCAGCGGGTCACCCAACGAGGCCACCAACGAGGCAGCCAACAAGACAGCCAACCAGCCAGCCAACGAGGCAGCCAACTTGGCCGCCAATGAGGACACCAGGCAGCCACATGGAGGGGATGCCACAAACGGATCCCCTTTGCACGCATGCGCGCATGCATCGCATGCAGGTCCTAAGCATGAGGTTGCACAGAAATCAAACGATTTTCGTCGCGGCCTTCCAGGAAAGGGCATCCTGAAAGTCGAACGCCCGCAGAACCAGTGCAATTGTCGTTGCAATCGCATCCCGCTGCTGTCGAAGCATCAGCACCTCCACATTAGGCCGACTCCATTATTTGAGCGGCGCCGCCAACCTTGGCCACCTCTCGCGGCGCGTCCCGCGATGGCTGCGCACATGACGCCCCAGGAGTTTGACCGCACGTTCGAGCTGAGCAAGAAGTGCACGCCGACAGAGGCGCACGCAAAGCTCAATGCATCGCGTCGCAGGTGCGGGCTGGCAGGCCCCGACCTTACCACGGTCCGCCGCGCGCTCGGCGGATCGACGTTCCACTGCGGGAGCATGGATACCCGCGGGGCGAAGCCGAGGTTGACGGCCGTCAACTTGCCGTCGCCGAAGTCAAATAGGAAGAAGTTTGTGAAGGAGGCTCGCGGCAAGAGGGAGCTGCACATCGCGGGCGTCATGAGAACGAGCCGCGTGGACCATGCGAACCCCAGCACCGAAGCCAAGCACTTCAAGTACAAATTGGTCGTTACGTTGCGGGCGCAGCGGTCCACGCCCCTGCGCATGCCAGAGGAGGACGAGGAGAGTCGGGCGATTCACTGCGTCAAGTTGAAGGGACACCCCCGCGGACTACTTCACGGAGAAAGTCGACGGCATCATGGAACACGAAATCTTCGAGGTCCCCACCCACGCGAAGGTTAAGCTTGTTGCGGAGATGAAGCTCGTGCGCGCGAGTTTCGGACGCGCTCGATACAGGCGACCCCGCGCGCGCAGGGCCCCGGGCGCGCCCGGCCCCCCCCCCTTGGCGCCCCCGGTCGTGCAGCGGTGGGGGGGGGGCGGCCTCCCGCGGACCTGCGCCGCCGCGCCGAGCCTCCTCGGCAGGGCCGCTAGGGCGGCCACCTCTGGGCGCGGGCGGAGGGCAACTTCAAATGGCTTGCGAGGCCGAAGGGGGACAATAACAGGGTCAACCTGGGCGCGAGGATGAACGTCGCCGCCGTGATCGTCGAGAACTCGGCCAAGGTCTGGCACCGCCTTCCGCGCAGATGGCGCGGCGCCGCGGCATCGGACATGCGCGGCCGCGCGGTCTACCCCGCCACGCACAGGTGCCGCGGCGCCAGGGCGACGCGCCGCGTCGCGGAGGGCAATGACACCGCGGGGCACAAGTTACGGGCAGCCATGGGGACAAAGAAGAGCCTGTCCACTGGGGCCATGCCTTTCTCCAAGTGCAGCGCCGACATCAGACCGGTCGACTGCTTCTCGCGGGCGGAGGCCCCCCGCGGGATGGCCGAGCAGAAAGCCGCGCGCAGCGAGGGCGCCGAGGCGCCCAGGGCGCGCCTCCCGCGCGCCGCCACGACCATCTCTGCGTCTGCCATTAAAGCGGCCGTCGCCAAGATGAGACCCAAATTGGCCGACGTCGCCTTGGGGGCTCTCGCGCCACCTGCCGCCTCGCGCAGGTCGCGCCCCGCGGAGAGCTCCCCCTGCCAGCCCCTGACAGACATTCCGCGCGCCGCTCCTCGAGCATTTCGCCCCCCACCCCCCCGCCCCCTCTTCCCCATCGCGCGGATCGCGTTGCGTAGCGCGCTCCATCCAGCGGCCCCACGGAGAGGGCCCGCGCGGCGCCTGCGGGCGCGCCCCCCCCCCCCCGGCCAGGGTTGATGGGTGGAGTTTGGTCAAAGGCAAACTAAGGGCAACATGTAGGCAAAGGCAATGTGTTGTTCCGATGGGCAAGTCGCTGCTTCGCGTTACAGAGACGTTAGCTTAGCTGCCGTCACAAACATCTTGTGGCGTTGGGTCCTCGCGCTGAAGAGACGGCGGCCCGCGCCCCTCCTTCTTCCTTCTCCTCCTCCTCTTTCCTCCTCCTCCTCCTCCTCCTCCCCCCCCCTCTCCTTCCTACGCGGCCCCGAGGAGGGGCCCGCGGCCGTTTCGACCGCGGGGCGGGCGGGCGCGGCGGACCCATCGCGGCAGCCCCCAGCGCCCCTGGCGCGAGCCCGGCCTGGAACCACGGAGGAGGGTTCAAGGGCCACGAGAGCGAGGCGGCGCAGCCCGTCGCCAGCCAGGCACCGACACCAGCGCCGCCCGCGAGCGACAGCGCGACAGGTGCTCCAGGCGGCGAAGCTGCAGACCGTGCTCGCGGAGCACCGCGGCATCGCGACCCCGCAGATGAGGCGCGGCGGTGGCAAGGGCAGCCAGGGCAGAGGAGGCCAGAGTAGCTGGCGCAGCGACTACGGCAGCCAGGACAAGAGCTGGCAAGGAAGAGGAGGCGGCAGCAGCGGCAGCGCTGGCGAGTGGAGTGGCGGCCAGAACAAAGCCGCCATCACTGGGGACTACGTGGTGTGCGAGTGCTGCTCGGAGTGGTGGCATGCAGACCGCCTACGTCGCACGCAGTGCGCGTGCCCCTGCGGCCAGCTGCCACCAGGCGCAGGCAAGGCAGCCAAGAAGCAGCAGCAGCAGCAGCAGCAGCAGCAGCAGCGCCAGCAACAGCAGCTGCGAGCCCTCCTCGGCGCATGCGGAGGCCAACAGGGCGCCCTGGGTCTGGGCAAGGCTGGCGCGGCAGAGGTCGCCCAAGCACTGCAGATTGTCACCGGCACCCTCAGTGGCATACAGATAGCGAACGGAGAGCCCATCAGGAAGCAGCTGGCGGGGGCAACGGCAGCGCTCCAGGCGGCCACGCCAGCAGCGTCGCCCCAGCAGTCGAGAGCGGCAAGACTTGCCGCCGCGGCCAGGACGCTTGAGACAGCCAAAAGACAGTCTGCAGCGGCATTCAAGGCGAAGCAGGAGGCTGACCACGCGGCCGAGAAGGCGAAGACCTGGCTCGTGGAGAAGGCTGAGGCGGCGCTGGACGCCGAGGACACGATCGAGAAAATCAACGCCGAAGGGGAGCAGACGACGAATACCCCCCAGGGCATTGTCGAGCAGCTCATCAGCGGCGCAGTCGACAACCT